GGTTGCAATCGTCATTAAAGGAATCTAAGCGGCACTATCTCCTTAATGTTGCAACCCGTTAGATTCGATGTCACTTCTACTCTGCGAACAGTCACTGATTACATCCTTTAGAAAAATTTGACACCTGATGAAGCAGCGGGGCACGTACTCTGTAATGGTACATAGATGCATATAGGACTGAACCACTACCTTGATGAAGTTCAGTGATCTAATACAGCTTGTAACAGAATCACGTGTTGCGCTACTTGTACGATTGTACCTTATTGTAATATATACAGATACACCAAAATTGGATAGTTTAGTACACAAAACTGCAATACTGATCCCATTTCAGGTTGACTATAGCTAAAACCTGCATATGGATCCTTATAGAATTTGTCTGGGAGGCTGGAACGGGTGACAAAAAGGTCTATCCCTCACCAAAAGAATTTCGTGATTGATGATGTCGGGGGCGGCAACAATTAACATTAAGCCCGCGGGATATTAGATGTCATGAATTGGCTCTAAGCAAAACTGTGCTGGGCCATACCTATGAAGAGATCATATCATCAAATCGCGATGTCTCGTTTAGAACGACAAAAATTCCCCGCGTTCAATCACCAAATTATATCAGTATTTGGCATCTTAATTTTTTAAAAGCTAAAATCATTCAGTTACATGGACGTTCTCGATTCTGCTCTTAGGCTGAGCAAACTAATCTCTGTGTATCTTTTAGCACGGACGTTTTGAACTGAAGTTGTTCAATGCAAAACTTACAGCAAATTTGATACTACTTGATAGCGCTTGTATCTACTCCAACGCCCGAAGCATATAGTTTCTGTGTCATCTGTGTGGGTAAAAAACATTTTTGTCAAGCTGCCTTTCCTGGGACAAATACCACTCTCGGCACAATACGCCATTGTACCTTCTTCCGGACCGACTCAACTAGGGGTTGTCTTGTCACTACCAGTTCTCAAAATAAGGTTACTGTGTTAAGCGCATAACCCTTTGGGCACAGGCACTAAATTAGAGTTGATTTCACTATGCACGGAGAGCTTTGAGTCAATGAGGTCGTGTAATCAACGGACAGAGTTGGGGTTCGTACGCTCTACCTAGGCCACAGGATCACGGTGTTTCGTTCAACCCTCTGTTCGCGGATGGTTAGGCGCTGACATACCCAATATGATTCCAAGCACGCTGAACAATGTTCGCCGAAACTTTGCCGTAATGCACGACTTTCAAATCGATACTATGACCATCGGCAAGTCTTGTTGGTGAAAACTTTTGTCGAGGAACAGCATTGCTGATTTCCACTGGTCACAATAGCAATGAAAAGGTGCGAGATGGCCTATCGTGCTCAGACGATCCATAAAGGCCACAATGCTTGTATTACCGGACGCGTCGTTGAGGAACCAAAATTCAACTTCATACTGATAGGCAGCCGACTTTATGCCAAAACAGCAAGCTGGCCGATGTTGCCGAGGCACGAGGCAAAAAAAAGGTTCGCCTGCAGACACATTTCCCGCGTGCGCACATATGTGCTTACCACCTTATACATCTAAGCCCACCAATACATATCACTTACGAAGCGGTATGTCTCTTCCTCCAAGGTGGCCATCCAAGGGCGTATCATGTGCGTCGTTCAGTATTTTGAAATTGACGTCCAGATCATGAATTGTCACTATCAAGTAGGTCAGTTGTGTGATACAGCAAGCCTTGGTGTGAGGTATAGCAGTGCAGGCGTGCAGCCGTGATGTGGCATGATCAGCTGCGACACCAGACAATAGACATTTGCTGGCGCATTTTACGGTCTCTGCGGCATTACGAGTCTTTTAGAGCATTCCGCACAAACTACAAGGGAGAAGTATTGCTTTCTCTCATAAGTACTTAGTAACAGGTCAGGAGCAGAACAAAATGCAGCCGACCATGCTCTTCTGCGGTACATCCTCTCAAAATTGGCTTTCGCGCCGGAGTTATGGCTAAATTAACTTATCAAAAGCATGTTGCTTGCCGTTTGACTTTGGTGCCTTCATCGCCGTACATCCCATTATTTATCATAACAGAGAGAGCTTGTGTCGGAAGTAGTTTATAAGCTGATTTTTAACTTCTGCGACTACCCGGGTACTTCAAATATAGCCCCAGGACCAGCAACGTGTCACTCTGCGAAGGTCTGATAACCTCAATTTAATGGTCAATGTGACACACGATACTTTGACTAATGTCCTCATTGCAAGCCCCACAAGTTTTATATTTATAAATTGTCATCTTTAAGTCCTCAGCTTACTGCCTATTGATTTCAACAGTTGTGCGTCGTAATCAATTGCACGTCATTACTAAGACTTTCGGGACCTCCTCGGTTTGTCGGATCCCGAAGTGCTGATGTAAAGAATCAGCAGATTGAGCTATGACCTCATCTCATTTTAAAATTATAGCTCCTTCAGAATGGGGTCCTGTTGGTCGCGACCTCACGGGGTTCGATAGAGCCTAGTTCTACCGAATCTCGCCTACTATAATAGAGGATTAACTACAAGAGATTTGTCGAATGACACTGCTACATAACCCAAACTTTGTACACTCCGTTTAGAGAGAAGCGAACAAATGTGTGATATTACCACAGATAAAACATCCGCGAGTATTGCGGCGCTATTCCTCAGCTCGGAGACTGTTTGCTTGATTTTAGCATCTCGAAAGTCCATTTCCGCAAGCACTTGGATATTTCTCCTCCTGCTCCGACCCGCTCTCGATATACGGAAGTTGTACTTTGCATTAAATTTGACATCCATCGCTTCTCGAAAAGGACAGATGGGCATGGGGTCTCGGTGCGCATCGCACCTGCTCGATAAGCTTCAATGACGATGGGAAACGTCGCAACCGCTAAAATTGGGCCTGCCACCATTATGGCGATAATAATTTGCAACTCTTGAACATACCCGCATATCTCAACGATCGGCGAGAAATGAAACGCTTGATTATGCGGTACAAACACGTGCGAAAATTTGTCGTTATCATTCCAACCAAGTTGAGAATGTCGCTTATTCAGATGGTCCACACGTAAATGCCCATCATCTGGCGCGAACGTTTGGTGTGTAGATGCTAGCGCGACGAGCTGTTGTTCAATCTCGATCATAGCCGACCCAATAACCAATTTCAACCCCTTTCATTCAAAATGAACCGCCACTGCGCTCGAAACTTTAGACACATAACATAAGCGGCCTAACGATGGGTGCTGTTTGCACCCCACCGACGCGTTTTTGGTGTTGAAGAGCATTATCAGAGCTGGAGAGACCGTCGATAGGCACTAGCTTATTTATCGCGTCCAATTTTTCCAAGTATTAACTAGCTCTTGTCTCATCTTCATAAATATATACATTCTTCCACGACGCGGTCGTCGGGTTGACTTCAAGTGTTATTAACTGCAACGTGGTCGCCGCGCACATTACCAAGAAAAAGCTTTGGCTCAGACAGTCTGCGTTTTCAAAGCGCAACGGTTAAGTTCGTACGCTTCATCCAGGAGCAGAACCAAGAGCATTCAAAAAAACTGAGTACGATGTTTGCTCTTTTTTTCAAAGGCAAATAATATCAAAAACTGATTTTTCCTTAAACGATATGTTACTTACTTATAGCAAAAACTATCTTCACTGCTTGACGCCAGACTAACAGCCCGCCATACGACGGACCTCTCCATAACGCACCTCTTTCATCTTCTTTAGTGGTACCTAGAAATTTCACAACTACTCAAAAGTAAGATATGTACATGAATAAAATTGTAGAGGTTGCATACACAATAGTATGGCCTACACTCCGTTACACGTTGATTCGAGCTTGCTTCTGTGCAACCCTGTTGCAAGTACTTAGTTATTTGATAGGCTTTTGGCTCCGCAACTGGGTGGAGCGAACGAATCTTATCTGTTTGCATTAGCTATCGCGGACTCGTAAAGTCACAGTTCTTTCTATGCGAGGTGCACGGTAAGCCCATTGCACTTCAAGAGCTGAAAAGCACAGTTGTAACGATATTACTTCAAAAAAGTATTTGTCTCTCTAATCAGTGTATTTAGCCTTTACAGCCAGTCATATTCTTGTTTCATGAAAAAAACGAAATGCACCCCTTCAAAGACTTAGAACTCTTGACAAAATCGGCAATGCATGCTGTAATCTTCGTAAGCGGAACACATTGAATGACAACCGTTAAAAAGCGCTTCCGAAATGACTATCAGGATCTGAAAGGGACACTTCGTACTAAATCCAATATTTCTTAGCAATTACACGACCATCAACAATCATACCAATCCATGTCGGTGCTTATCATATAATACAAGCTTTCGCCACCAAAGCACTGCGACTCACACAGTAGTTTTTTTAAATCATGAAGCCCACGGACAGGCTTTCTTTGAAATTGCGCGAGATGCCTGAAACCAGAAAGGGTCTGAAACAGATATAGCTGCGTCATGGATTGTATCAGTCTGTAGTTTGTAGTTCTGGCAAATGCTTAAGCTCGACGGTGATCTTCACTCATTGCACTCAGAAGAACACACACGGCGAATCCGAGCCCTTCCTATGGCTCAAATATATACAGCCATACATACCGGCATTTATAGAGGCACAAGAGCTGGTCTTCATCAAGTTTGACAGCATACATCCCGAGGCTTATTCAAGAGCTAAAAAAGATCACGAAAACCGTCCCGATCTGCACCTGGTCTTTTCAAGCAGAAGTTGATCGCATCTGGCATGGTAATCAGCATTACTTAAAGATCCTTGAGGGCATCGAAGAGCGTTCAGGGATTCACCGGATCGCAGTCCTTAGATTGCACAAGTTGTAGGTATAGAGCAAACGAGGCTTTTGGAAATAGCATTGGCATCTGCTTCGAATATATTGTAATCTGAAATGAAAACAGCTAGCGCTGCTGTGACATTAATTACCTCTTCTTATATTCGTTCACGAAGGTTATCGATTTACCAGCTCTGTACGTCATTAGAATTACATACCAAATCTAATTTATGTGCTGCTTCAAACAATAATAATACGAAACTCCTTATTCATTGAGGGAACTCTTACAGATTGAGATGGGTGGATACGGGAGGAGACCAGACAAAACATCAAGATACTTCTGTTAATATAAGCTCGTGGGTTCCGTAGACGGGGATGTAATAAACGAGCAAATTGTCAATGTTGGTATCACGAGAAAGACTTAGAAATGTTGCGATAGCAAATAATGCTAGGGAACGAAATGTACATTAGCGGCTTTACTTTTGTGGTGTTCGGGTGTAGAATTCGCATTGAAGTGCATTTTAGCTCGATGCTCACATATCTGGTGAACACATTTGCGTCAGAAGCGAATGTGAAATCAAAACTCCAGTATAACAAGAAACCAAAAAGTCCGAGCATCGCATCAGTCCGTCACCATTATTTTTGACCATCAGCATGTTGTGAACATCACGGTGAGCTTAGATTTAGAAGACAGCCCAACGAGCAGCATGAATTGAGACCAGAGATAAAATAGCATCACAAAGGGTTTGTACTGTAGGTTTTCAAGTTTAGCCCACGATCTGTAGCATTAAGGTAAGCATTTACGTTTCAGAAAATAAGTAAAGTCGAAAACCCTTCGTGCACCTAAAACCTCAAATTTGGATCCAGACAGAAGGACTAACGGTCGCACAGCTTTTTCAATGACCACAGAGCGGCGTCTGCGGCTCACATATACAATCAGTTTAATGGAAGAATTTATGCCGCCGCCTAACTTGCATTAACAAAGTCTTCCTATATGACAAATGCCTCAGCAATGACGCTTGCTAGTTACGCCTGGAACGATCCTAATTGCCGGAATAAACTCCATCTGTTGGTACGCCAGGGTGACAAAAAGTTAACCCATGCGAGTTTTGTGCTGTGAATTCTTGAAGAATGAAGAACATTCACGCGCATTTGAACCCGGGTACATCGTGGCATGAATTTGAGTCACGCTTATTGTGTTGTATTTCCCAATTTGCTTTCTTCGAGTTGCATCACCATGATGAAGTTATTTCCACTAGTCGTGTCCGTGCTCATTGCATTGTTAACATGTACACTTGTTTTATCGGAAGAGTGCACATCAGACGAACTTGCTAATATTGGCAGCATCTACTCTTCAGCCATGACAGATGCATGTCCAGACATGAACTCGGCTGCTGGCGACATGTCCGCCAGCTACTGCACACCGGATTGTATTGCGTTCATTACTGATGCTCTAGACAAGCTGCCGGACTGCTCCACAAGCGGCGTCAATATCAAAGCGGCAGTGCAAGCTACTATTGACTACTGTGAAGCTGGAAAAGCTGACACCTCGAACGTCTTAACGGGCTCTTTATCTACCTCCTCAAACGCTAATGCCTCTAACAGTAACGAGGTTAAAGCCGACCCAAGTCCGTCAACGACAGAGAAATCTATGGCCTCGACGACAAAACATTCCATTTCGAGCGTCATAGTTAAAATAGCTGTACTTATCGTAGCGGCTGCTTTGTAAATAATGCATTATGCTTTAATTGAACCGCTGTGTATTTTGTGTGGATCGTTTTTTTTAGATAAAACACAGTAATCCCCTCTCAAAGTTGTTATGCCGATTACTCATCGCTTTCAGTGGTCCCCCTAAGAGGTCATTGTCACACAAAATACAGCACGCAAGAAAGCGGCATCCCAAGACACGTCGTCTTCTCGCTACGCTGTTCTCTATTCTGCCTCCTCCCTCACCTAGTTATCTACGCTCAATTTTTGGTTTGACTGATATTTTGTGAGTCTTTCACAATATAATACGATGAGTTACCAAGTGTCGTCGGTGTTCTTACAGAAATTCTCTCCTAAGGAGATTCATGAACTCAAGCGAGTGTTTAAAGAGCACGACAATGACTACGCTGCTGCTGTTTCTGTTAATGAACTACCTACAGTGCTACAAAAGCTGGGCGAGAACGTGACACCAAACCAAACAAATGTTATGTTGCAGCAGATAAAGTTGGAAAGACCCGACCAGATCTCATTTCACGAGTTTTTAGAGCTGCTTTATGACTTTCGCAATGGAGCCATTGCGCTAGATCCGGTACTACTCATGGAGCATGCTTCGGTAACCCCCACGCCTAAGGTTGCGCCTGTTCCGGTGCCTGTAGCATCGTCTGGATTTGTGGAAACGACACCAGTTTTCGCCAATCGGAAGACAAGTGCTTCAGTAACGGAGCCAACTTACCAGACACCCACATTTGTACAAAAAGCGCAGTGGCCACCTACCGGAACGCCTTCAACTCCGACGTCGTCTTCGGCCCCCGTTGTACACAAACCACAATGGTCATCAACTGGTACGCAAGGCGCGTCTTGGGGACATACGCCATCATCAGCATCACAAATGGCACCACCAATCACTGTACCTTCGACAAAGGCACAATGGCCTCCTGTGTCGGAACCTTCCACACCTCCTGCACCTGTCAGGACCGGGAAATGGTCATCTCCTAATGGCGATAAGAGTACAATAACGTCGCAGTGGCCACCAAGAGCAACTTCGCCAAGTGTAACCAAGCCGCAATGGCCACCAACATCCGATGTAGCATCGAAAAGCTCCGTTACTGGTAAAGATTCGCCTACAATCGTTTCCCCAAAACCTCAATGGCCTCCTAGTGCGTCATCTATCACTGTATCGCCGAAATCTCCTTCCGACGCTCCAAAACGTGCCCAATGGCCGCCTGCGTCATCCAGTCCAGTCCCACCACCGGTCGTTCGCACACCGCCCATTTCGCCAGCAACAGAATTTGTCGGTAAAACTGTTGACGCACACACATTAAATGTTCTGCAACGTCGTGCCAGTGCAGCAGCGCAATACAACTCGACAATTCATGAAGTTAAGGGTACAGCTGGAGGTGTCCACTCGTACTCAGAAGAAGAAACTGTTGCATTTACTGAACACATTAATAATGTCCTGCATGCAGACAATGATGTGGCATCGTTGATGCCAATTGGAGTGGATGGAGGTCTCTTCCGAGCGGTATGCGACGGTGTGCTGCTGTGCAAGCTCATAAATGCTGCTGTTCCCGAAACTATTGATGAACGTGCGCTAAATTTTGTTAAACGAACCAAAGAGCTCAATGTGTATCAAAAGACGGAGAATCAGAACTTGTGTATCAATGCAGCCAAAACAATTGGCTGCAGTGTCGTGAATATTGGACCAGATGATTTGATTGAAGGCAAACCCATTCTTGTATTAGGAATAGTCTGGCAAATTATCAAAATTCAACTCACGTCGACAATTAACCTGAAAAACCACCCAGAACTCATGCGGCTTTTATTGGACGGCGAAACGCTAGAGGCATTTATGAAACTTCCTCCCGATCAGATTTTGCTGCGGTGGATGAATTATCACTTAAAAGCTGCGGGTCATCCGAAGAAAGTGACAAATTTCAGTACAGACGTTCAGGATGCGAGTGCGTATAGTGTTCTGTTGCATCATATTGCACCTCAACATTGTGACTTGTGTAACGAATCGATTCCAGAGGAACGTGCAGCTCATGTGATTCAAAATGCACGTCGTTTAAAGGTTGAGACATTTATCAAACCACGAGATATCACAAGTGGAAACCCTAAATTGAACATGTCGTTTGTGGCTCAGCTGTTCAATACATGTCCAGCGTTGGATGTGATTGAAGAGGAGAGAAAACAATTGGAAGAAATTTTGTATGATGACGTTGGTGACACACGTGAAGAGCGTGTCTTCCGAATGTGGATTAACTCGCTGGCGATTGATGATGTGTACATCAACCACTTGTACTCGGATTTAAGTGACGGTATGAAGTTGCTTAAGGTGTTGGACAAGATTCAGAAGGGAATTGTTGCATGGAATAAGGTCAATATGGTGGCACCTAATAAATTTAAACAGGTGGAAAACTGCAATTATTGCGTCGTGCTCGGCAAACAATTAAAATTTTCGCTTGTTAATGTTGGAGGAGCGGATATTTTTGAAGGCGCAAAGAAGATGATTTTGTCGATCGTGTGGCAAAGTATGCGGTACCAACAGCTTAAGATTCTGAGTGAGCTTGCAGCTGGTCGTGGTGAAATTACCGACAAAGACATAATTGCGTGGGCAAACAACAAGGTACGTCAGAATGGAAGGGTACAAGGCAACATTGTGTCATTTCGGGATCCATCTTTGGCCGATGGACTTTACTTGCTTGACTTGGTCCATGCTGTAGAGCCACGTGCTGTGAATTGGGACATGGTTTTGCAGGACAAGGCGGACGACGCGAAGGCCAGCAATGCTAAGTATGCTATCAGCTGTGCTCAAAAGATCGGGGCTACGGTATTCTTGACTTTCGAGGATATTGTGGAAGTTAAGCCCAAAATGATGATGACATTCGTGGCCAGTCTTATGCTTGTAGATCATCAGCGCTCATAGGTTGCCGTGATTACGTGCTAAAGTACAGATAAAAAATACGCTTGGAATTTTAGGTATCTAACCATTTGTTTGAAAGTTAGTCTGACTCAAAATACTGTCGATAGTGATATAATTCTTAGCTATATAGTTTATCTGAAGAATTATTCCTTCGAATTTTATCATGGCTTCTCGTGGGTGGGAGCGCGATGTAGATCTCCACCAGCGCAACGACGACCGCAGATCATCCGTTGATGTTCCTTCACCTACAGAAGGTGAAAGAGACGTTGATGGGGGCGTGACAGCGCCCGTTGGGACCCAAAAGCGGCAGCGCAACCTGTTACGCGAGTCGCATTTGATCTCCGCCGAGGGTTTCCAAAAGGTGCATCGCACGTTTCCATACCAAGTCTCAGCTGATGTCTCAGGCCGTGAGGCCCAGGCACTGGCGTCGCTGGTGAAGATGTACAAACAATGGGCTTTTGATCTGTATCCAGGTCTGAATTTTGAAGATTTTGTGGAGCGGACAGAAACGTTAGGCAAGGGACGTCAGGTGCAAGCCCTCATGATGGAGTTAAGGGAGAAGGAGAGATTAAAGTATCTGAAAACGATTATAGATCAAGATGAGAAGGATGAAAAGGCTGATAGCGAAGGCGAGGAGGCGATGCTATAGTTGCTTGTTATATAGGATTATTTAACTCTATAGACTTAACATTTTTGGTTTTTTGCTTTAAAAATCTGACAATACCAATCTTAAATAGCATCGAAATGGCTTCAAGTTTTGATGAGCTCTTACACCCACTGTCGCCGATGGACGCGGTGATGCACAGCTTTGGTTTTGTCATTCTGTACATCTTTCCTCCTTCGACATCTGTCAGCTTTGATCTCAACAAGTTGCACTCGTCGTTTATTGCTCTTGTAGAACAAGACTATCCCATTCTAATTGGGGAGCTATACGTCGATCCAAGTTCCGGAATCGTGAATGTAAAGCAATCAGCGGAGTGCCGTCAGAAAGGGGCTGCTGGCATCCGATTTGAGACTAATCCGCGGAATTCTATGACGACGGAGCAGGCAATTGAGGAACGATCGTTGGATTTGATGCCTGGTACGCGAGGTAAGAAAGAGTTGATTTGTGCTAAGGGAACGCTCCTGAAGGATGGGGGATTGGCTATTGGTATAAATGCAAGCCACACGTTGTTTGACGGAGAAGCCATGTTTACCTTCATGACCGTTTGGGGTCAGCTATACAATGGTGTCAAGAAAGAAGAAAGAATTGTCGTGAGTCATGCTCGACACTTGCTCAATGGATCGGGAAAAGAAGCGAAGATGAACCATCCTGAATTTCGTGTTGTGCAAACGAACGGGGCTACTGAGAATGCACAACTTCCTACTAAAGTTCCACCCGCAACATCTCACCACTTATTTCATTTTACTTCAAAGATGATGAAGAGAATCAAGGATGTGGCGACAAGCAGTCGACTGGATGGTCAAGTAGCTGCTGAGACGCCGTATGTCAGCACAGTCGACGCCATAACTGCTCTTTTTACAATATTAATCTCTAGAGCTCGCGATCATCGCCAGGATGTGAACATTACAACTGGTGTGAACGCTCGACGCCGTTTGAACCCGCCATTGCCGCAGAATTACGTGGGAAATGCCATTTTTAATGCATTCTCGACGTACAAAAATGTCGAGCTGCAGCCACAAGCAGAAGACGAAGATTTTGTGTCGCCAGCAATGTTAAATAAGGTTGCTCGATGCGTGCGTGACTCGATTCTTCAACGCAACAACGCGTACCTACGCGATGCTATTGATTTTTTGACTTTGCAAAACAACGTCGCGGCCGTTCAGGTGGGTACAAACTTTGTGTTCGGTCCTGACCTCATGTTTACATCCTGGCTGCATCTGGGGATGTATAAAGCTGACTTTGATGGTGTGCACCCTTGGTTTGCATGTGCTCCTCGACTACCATGCTACGATGGGTTTGTTATGATCACTGAAGCTCAAAAGGGAGGAGACGGAATTGATGTGGCTGTTTTTCTTGAGAGTAATGCCATGCAAAAGCTAGATAAGATGTTTGCTGAGGTGTCCTATCTTTACAATGACAAAGTATAGTGCAATGAGTTCCTTGCGTTCAGAAAAAGTGTATATGGTATAGATTGCTGCGTGAGTCTGACTGTTTTGTTCTTACGTTACAATGCTATCGCTTGTGGTAGTCGAGTAAGATACAAACCCAGCCTAACTAAAAAAAATGATTGAACAGGAAGAAGAGTAGTTAGGCTTGCAGTCATTTACTCTTTATTTTGAATAATTATCCGTTCAACAACAAAGAATAGCTGGAAGTCGACAATGAGAAAAACGTTCCCATCGACAATGGGATAATGTAATTGTGACTGTATACTCTGGACGCCATTTCATGCAGGTAACATCGAGATGCAATGCTTAGGAAGCAATTAAATGGCAATCGTTGATATCCTACCCGAGATGGTGACACCGATGCTTTTATCAGCAAATAACTCTGTTCCAGAAACGAAGATTCTGGCTCTAGCTCGTGGATAAAGCTACGGATCGCTTGTTTACTAGTCATCAATACATAAATATTGGGCCGTTTGACGGAGTTTTTAGAAAAGCTTAAGGGTTGGGACCAGCTCGACGGATGCATCACTCTCGGTTTGTTTAGTCGAAAACTACACCAAGTGTAAATTATCAAGCAATGCCTTGGCGTCATAAAACGTAAAAAGGAAACAGTATATCATTTGAACATTGCGATTGTTACTGTGCAGTCGAAAGATGTCTTGTCAAGCTCTGATAGCTGCCGATATCAAATCTTTTGGGGAGGAACCGAATCGACGCCGGAAGATCCTATCTTTGAATTAGGATGCAGATAAAAAAAATTCGCCACGATTAGATCGCGATCCTGACCGTCGAACATGTCTGTTAATTTAGAGGATGTAATGATCCCGCTGTCTCTACTTGACGCAGCACTGCTCAGTCACAACCTTCCGATTCTGTACTTCTTTCCTCCTCCACCATCGTCCACTTTTGACCTCAACAAATTGCATTCGTCGTTCATGTCATTAGTTGAGCACGACTATCCCATTTTAATAGGAGAATATCACGTTGATCCAAAGACGGGTATTGTCAATGTGAAACAAACATCGGAATGTCGTGAAAAAGGAGCCTTTGGGATCAAGTTTGAGACAAAGTCAACGAGGTTTAAGAGTTCGGAGCAGGCTATTCGAGAACGATCGTGGGAACTGATGCCCAGTTCACGGGAGAAGAATGAACTGATCTCTGTCAAAGGAACACTTCTTCAAGATGGAGGGTTGGCTATTGGCATTAATACTAGTCATGCTTTATTCGATGGAGAAGCTTTCTTTACATTTATGACAATTTGGGGACAGTACTACAGTGGCGTCAAGAAGGAAGAGAGACAAGTAGTAAACCATGCTCGATACTTGCTTAATGAAGTGGGAGGGCCATCAAAAATGAAGCACCCTGAATTTCGCGTACTTCTCGATCATGACTTGACAACGGAAGCCCAATTAGCTGCTCAAGCACTTCCTCATACTACGAATGAGTTTTTCCATTTCACTCCGATTATGATGAAAAAGATCAAAGACTTGGCAAGTCACGGTGGATTGGATAGTCAGAAAAGTGTAAAGGCATCGTATGTAAGTAGTGTTGACGCGATCACTGCACTAATGACAGTCTTGATCTCAAGAGCCCGCAAGCATGGTCAAGATGTACGTATTTCAACCTTTGTCAACGCTCGACGTCGTCTCGAACCCCCGTTGCCTCCAAACTACGTAGGAAATGCCATCTTTAATGCATTTTTGACAGTTAAAAGTAAAGAACTCCAGCCGCAGCCAGAGTATGAAGGTCTTGTGTCTGGAGCAACACTAAACCTGATAGCTCGACGTGTCCGTGAATCTATTATTCGATGTGATGACGCTTACATGCGTGATGCTCTCAACTTTCTGGCTGAGCAAAGCAACATTGCCGCCGTTCAGATTGGCACAAATTATTGCTTCGGTCCCGATCTCCTATTTACCTCGTGGTTACGTTTGGACATGTATGGTGCCGAATTCGATAGTGTACATCCCTCACATGTATTTTATCCTCAACTACCAGGTGCCGATGGCGTAGTCATATTTACTGAAGCCCAAAATGGAGGTGAAGGAATCGATGTGGGTGTACTTCTCGCGTGCAGCGCGATGGAGAACCTCAAGAAAATGTTTACAGAGATATCGCACTTTTACAGTTAGGTCAGAGTACAGTTAGAAAAGCAAACAACTGGATTTCTGTCTGATAAGATCAAGAAGATCAGCAATGATTACGCTGTTATGATTATTATATCAAAAAGAGAAAATTACATTTATAGTTCTATTATGTGCCCAAGTATTGCTCTGAGCAGAATTATTGACATGCTCCCTCATGCTCCCTCACCATCATCATCCTTCAAGGCAAGCTGCTAGATTTACAAACGAGACTGCGATTGAATAGAAAAGTACAACAATCAGGAATCTAGTAGCCAAATTGGACAGCTGAAACTGCGATCTGATGTCTTTATCGAAGATCTTTTGACATCTTCGAGACGAATTGCAAGAAGATTGTTTCCCGATAATCCTGACGTGCGAAAGTTTGAATATTTGTAGGATAAAGCAAGCAGAACGAAGGCGCAATCAATGATATCTGAAATCGCTTCAATTTTCGTTTGAACGTCATCAGCTCAAGTGCCCTCCTCGCTTGATTTCGCTCGAAATGAACACGATTATGCTGCCATTATCGCCCGTTGACACGGTGATGCACAAACTCGACCTAGCACTTCTGTACATCTTCCCATCTTCGACGACGACATCATTCGACCTTAACAAATTGCGATCGTCATTTGTTGCATTAGTAGAGCAAGACTATCCCTTCTTAATTGGAGAATTTTGCGTTGATCCAACGAATGGGATCTTAAACGTGAAGCAGACAGTGGAGTCCCGTCAAAAAGGAGCTACTGCGATAAAGTTCGAGACGAATCCAGAAAATCCTATGACGACGGAGCAGGCAATCGAGAAACGATCGTGGGACATGATGCCTAGCACGCGAGGCAAACATGAGTTGATTTGTGTCAAGGGAACACTATTTCACGATGGAGGATTAGCTATTGGCATCCATACTAGTCATTCTTTATTCGATGGAGAAGCTTTTTTTACTTTCATGAAGGTATGGGGACAGCACTATAGTGGCATTAAGAAGGAAGAGAGACTTGTGGTAAGTCATGCTCGACATCTGCTCAATGGATCTGGAAGGACATCAAAGATCAAGCACCTCGAATATTCCATCAAGGATAAATGTGGAGCCTTGGACGAAGCACAATCACTGCCTGCAGCAGCTGATCATTTCTTTTATGTTTCTCCAAAGATGATGAAAGGAGTAAAAGAAGCGGCAAATAGCAGTGAACTGAAGAATGACAAAGCTACTGAAGCCTCGTATGTCAGCACGGTAGATGCACTCACTGCACTCATGACAATTTTGATCTCGAGAGCCCGAGACCAAAATCAAGATGTGAATACGACAACTATTGTTAACGCGCGACGCCATCTGAATCCCCCGCTACCCCAAAATTACGTGGGAAATGCCATATTTAGTGCGGTTTCGACATACTCGCGACCTGAACTTGAGCCACGACCAGAAGACCAAACTCTGGTATCTCCAACAACCTTAGGAATGGTCGCTCGACGTGTACGTAGCTCCATTTTACAATGTGATAACGAGTACATGCAAGATGCGATCGATTTTTTGACTGAGCAAAGAAATCTCGCTGCTGTTGGAATGAGTTCTAATCATTTCTTTGGAAATGATCTCCTTTTTACCTCATGGGTGCACATGGACATGTATGATTCTGAATTTGACGGTGTGCGTCCCTCGTATGCATGTTTCCCTAGATTTTATGTTGGTAATGGTATGATCGTAATCACCGAGGCCCGAAAGGGTTATGAAGGAATCGAAATTGGTGTTGTTCTCGAGTGCAGCGCAATGGAAAGACTCAAAAAGATGTTTGCAAAGGTTTCTCAGTGTTACGAGTAGCTTTGCAAGCCTTTCGTCCACTGACGCCGTACGTGAGATGCATTAGTAAACAACAAAAGCTTTTCGTATTTGAGATGTTACTTATTCGAAAAACCAAATGGGTAAAGAAATAATTACGTAACAGATCAATTTTTAAGTAATAGCCAATTATGTTCGTCTAGCATTGATATCCATACTCATCTCTTAGCTTAACGAATGGATCTCCAGAAGATGCTGAGCCATTTCTGTCAGCATGTTAGTCTCGTTTATTGCTTGCGTTACAGCCGTCAAAGTTTCATCACTGACGCGAGGTCCAGAGGGTTTAGCGCCAGTTAAATGGAGCTTAATCAGCTTTAAGTTGTTTCCAATTCGCTGTCCCTCATCGAGCAACCTTGACAATTCAAATAGACTCTCATCTTTAGACATAAAGTTACGCGCTATCTGCTTCTGCACTTTCTGCAAAGCCGCCTGAAGGCCAGCTAAATCATTAAGTAGCTCTCGAAAATCTTCTTCCTTCTCTTGCATCACATGCTGCTGTGCTTGTAGCAACACCATGGCCTTAATTAGTTTTTTGTTATCCTTCAAAGTGTCGAGCACGGTATCGTCCTTCGGGGTCTTTCCCTTTATCACCAGCCTCAACGAGTGAGGCGACGTCAGGCCCAGCACTGCACTCAATTTTTTCTTAACTCCTAATATGGTTTCACAAGTTGGAAAGATGAGGTCGTAGCGAGCTTTGCCACGAAATAGCTGCACTAAAAGAACATCATCTTTCAGATCATTCACGTCAATATCGAGAGCCTTCGAAGAGACTTTTGACGAAGACTTGATTGCTGAAGATGGTACTTGCTCTGAGTCGAGACTATTGGCATGTTGATATTGTTCAGAAGACAACGTTTGTTCGTAATACGCTCGATTGCGTAGCAGCAGCAGCTTGCAGCCATCCGTTAAACATGTTGCACTCATGACATCACGTCCACGCAGCACTAGGCGTTGGAACTTGGATTCCACATCAAATGATTCGTATATGTTCCTCTTGAGTAGATCAAAAGCACTTGGATCTTGTGCAGGGACGCTAAAGGTTGCTGACTGCTTCCCGAAGATGACAGTTACGACTACTTTCGTCTCGTCGGACATCAGGCTGAGCAATGTTCGATACATAAAGATAGAAAACTCAAACGATATTTTCATAAAAGCATAGATATTTTAGCAGTTCTTAAGAAAAGCTTAATGATTAAAAGCATTGCTACGGGCTGCCTACTTCCGGGTAGCCCAAACAGCAGGAGAGACTTAACAGAATGACTTATATATTTGATGCTATCCAAAAAATATCTTATAGCTGGGATCTCTGAAAGATCTCGAATTTCAAAAATAGCTCTCAAGTTTATTTTGAATAAGATTTTTGTGAAAACAAATTCATATCAATCTTAGACCTGTAAGATTGCAATTTAATTTTTCTGTTTCGATGTACTCGAATATAATCGTACCTACGAAGCTCTAGAATTTATTGCCAACGACACAGGCACAATGCCTTTATCACTACACCTTGATTCTGAGGGTGCTAGGTAGAGTTTCAATTGCAAGGTCTCGCACGAATGGCGCTCGTATTTTTCGTGCTAAGCATGTTGCTTGTATCTTTTACTTGTAGCCATTTTTATCGCCAATTCAATGTTACATTTTTAGCGTTAAAAAAACAGGTACCATATTACTGTGCGAATTACTAAAGCAAGCGCTGCAAGGATCAACTTGAAGTACTATGTGCTTATGCTTTTGTAGAAGACCGGCCGCCCTCTGAACAGCTCACGATACAAGACGTTGGGCTCCAGGTGGTTTCCAATTGGTGCCATTGGTATTGCAGCGATTTCCAAAAGTAGAAGTCCTAAACAAATCCTGTTAAGTGCGAACAATAACTGTCGGTGCATTTCCCACGGACATTTCTGATATTATAAGAGATTACACAAAGTACATTGATATAGCGTCTTGTTGCATTGATATTGGACATTTGTCACTTAACTACTATCGGTGGGTGGAATTGTCTTTGTACAAATTTAATCAGTCATCCAAGGCAAGATTCTGATCCACCATCATGGAGCTTCAGACAGATTTGGCTTCGACTCGCCCCAACTTTATTGGAAACTGCGTTGATCTCACCATCAAATCTATCTCCTCCGGCGCGAAATTAAATCCTTGTAGAGAATATGGCGGATGCTCGAGGCGATTTTACAATGATAGCGAAACATAGGTAAAGTTTAGCACTAATTGCGTCTGAAGAGGAATCCTTGGTACAGCCTAGCGGTAAGTAGTCGATGTATAGTACAAAGATGCTGGATAAGACATACAAATAGGCACGGGCAGCACGATAGTAAACAACACACATGTCGGCAAATGAAGTGCGAGCAACACGCTACAGCTTAATTTAGGCTGGGCAGACTCCGTCGAAGCTCTCATAAGCCGTTTATCTCCACGATCTTTTTATGGTATGGTCATATGTGCTCTTTGTCAAGCATAGATTAAGACGATGATTCAGTGGATATTCTTCATATGCTTTTTGAAAGAGATTCCGGGATACACACGGATGATATTTGAGTTGCCACGGGGGATCACGCATTGTAGTAGCCAGCAACACAAGCTTACAAACAGCCGACGAAAAATGGCGAAACTTGTAGCGAACATATTACCACGCTTGTAAAGTTTGTCGGCAACACCCACTTGCAGATTTACGTGCACTGGGAGGACTTAGCAACCCATCCAAGCGTGGTTGCTGTAGAAAATTGTCCGCACCATCACTCTGTTAATCACGTACAGAGCTTTACCCACGTCTGAAGACCATTTGATAGCTATCAATCGTAAGCTTCATAGCTGCAACGAAAGCATTCGTCTTATGAAGGGATTGTGGTTGCTTTGACACAAAAACAGGAGCTTTGCGACGGGAATCATGAAGTTCAACTTCCAAATACTTTATCGTTTGAATGTAAATTATCATCAGCATCGGGAGTGACATCAACACCAGGTGAGATTTGTGAACTACCTAATAATCAAAGCACCTACGGCTGACACTAAGAACTTCAACGCAAATCTGTATATGTACGTGGATCGTCAGTTATTTGTCCTTTTACGTCGCGTTTTGCTTCGTATTTTGAAGATATATATGGTACGAGTTTTCAATGGACAATTTCTTCGAGTCCTTTCATTGCTTTGTTTTGTCATCTTTTTCGTCGTCTTCATCTCTTAGTTTTATATTCGTCTCAAGTTGCTCGTATCTTTGTCTGCGTGTACTGCTTTTTCAAAGTTTCTATTCAATCGTAAAGGATGTACTCTCACGGCTCCTTCAACTGCTGTAATCGAATTGCGCGAAGGCTTCTTCGTCTGCATCGGAGACTAGTTTTTAGTGCGCCGACATGTGCGAGTACACCCTATGGGTTCCCACCCTTTTCAGTAACTTGGACATAGCCAAGATTATATAAATTTGATATTTATAACCTGCTTTTATAGGTCAAGCATCTACAGTGCGTAGTAGAGCTTTGATCTTCTGTGATTACTCTTCTAGTTTTTATGGAGGTCCATACGAAAGAGTGTCTACTTTCCAGTTCCACGTAATAAGAGCTTAGACGAGTCCATTTCCAGCTTTCATCAACTTCGTTTTTTTCTGATTAAATTTAGGTTCAGTATACGTGTACGTGTTGAGATTACGCCGTTGAATGCATGTTGAACAGGCAGATGACGTCACCATATTTACGAGTACGTCACAGTAAGTAATTACATAATGGTTGGCGTTCATTGGTCTAGATAAATCAGGATGCTTATGGAAGCTTCTAGAAGGATCTAGAAAGACAGGCTTAGAGGTAGCACAGAGTAGCGACCTAAGGACCTAAATATATTTACTTTGGGTTTACCTTCTACTCAACTATACGTGGTAGTTCACGAATGTTAATCATCCAGAATCTGCTTAAATTATCGAATGTATTTGATTTTGTGGAGTTATAGGTGACGTCGAGGATTGTAAAGTCTGATAACACTAGTATAAAGGTTTGCGTAAAATAAGGTATCTTGTATTTCAGGTCGATCATGAATCCGAGTCCATCACATAAGGTCGTAAAGTAGTTGGTCGACACATGATCGAGTGCACCACGGTCCAGATCTTCGAGCGTATACTTTGTCATCATACAAATCAAAAGATTTGTTGTACAGGCTCGTCTTGTATATATTAAATTGACGAAGCACAATATTCGCTGACTTTCCTTGTCCTGAGTTTCGATATTCTCGCATGTGTGAGTCTCCAGTTGATCGTGGTTTGTCTTTTATTTTGCAAAGTATCGCCTAAATATTTACCCACGATTCGTGAAAAATTGATTAATGCTTCATCGACAGCTTTTTCCGCGATTTATGATTTCATCTCGGGGAGAATTTCATCAGATTCTTTCTTTGGATTTTGTTCGCTTTTTTAAGATTGGTGCTTCTTCTCTGTCGCTGGTAAAGACCCCCACCTCAAACAGCACGAGTTTTGAGAGTCGAACTTTGTCGATGGCTGAGTATATTGATGTTTCCATCCGACGTCAAACAGATCTCTGCTTTGTGAAATGAGATAGTGATGATCTCCCTCTTTGGTTACTAATTATAATGGATTGAGTTAGAAGATAGGATTGTCAGTCATCGAGAAACACATTGGATGATTTTCTTTGTGCTTTAACAAGTCACTTCTATTCGATCAGCGGTTTTTCAACCCGAGCCTGAAGTAGACAAGAAACAGACGACGGATGCGGGCTATCTTCAAAGAGGATATATAAAATCTTTTGGATTTACATTTGGGTAAGCACAACAGTACAACGGCATCTCTGACTGTCAAAAAATACTCGGAATGATCTGTACCAAATGCTTTTAGAGAACAAAAGTGGACCTGTCGATTCAAAGTCCACACTGACGAAGATCTCAACAGTTTGTCGATGCCATCAAACAAGACACTACAAAAGGATGAGTAAAATGCATGCTCATTGCGGAAGTCAAAATCAGACAAAATAAGTATCAAGACGACTTTGAGGAATCGGCACACCCACGTCACGTCATCTTTAAAATCCGGATCAGCAATAGGCGCGCACCATTTCAGGTAATCAGTGAGGTTTTGTAATCGATCCGATTGTCGCCTACCCTGTGCTTCCCATTTATCTGCGCTCTCCTAGATAAGCTATTTCTGTAATAACTCGATAAATTGCCGCAGATGTTGAGTTTCTGCATCTTTCTATGCCAGTTCCATGTCCATTACTGCTGATCTGCTGCTTCGAGGTAAAAGTTATGTGACACCGTGTTACCAGCTCTCATTTCAGAGTTCATCATATCCGCAATCACCGCTAATAGTGAGATAAGGGTTCTTATAACAGTAACACCGTCTTGTGCTGAATGTCTTACATCTGTTACAGATCGAGCGATGTTCATC